AGGCATGAGACACGAACAGCTTAGAATCTGACTAGCCTATGCCAAGAGCTATAATAATTTGGGGCCTCAGATGATAACAGAAATCATAACCTATGACCTAAAAAGACTCTTTCAACAAAAGGAGAAAAAAGTACAGTTACTCAATTTCTTTCTGCAGCTCCCCCTACATATTTAAGTCCTGAGCATTTAGTTGTTCTCTGCTCTATAGACTTGACGTGTGTAAAAACAATCTCAGGGTGATTGAAATGTTTCTCTTTATTCAGCTTAAAGTTTAAATTTTTTCCTTCGCAGCCACTCACAGGTCCTTGAGTCCTCATTAACTCAATGTGGGAGCACCAGATAGCTAAGACCCAAGGATGGACTGACTGATGTGGGTGTGAGGAAAGGTGACCTTTAGCTGTAAACATTCATCAAATTTCACATCCTCCAAAATATTAGCACGCAGAGAGCCTGCTAGGATGCAGATGCTGTGTCTGGCCTTATTAGATCCATGCTTTGGAAATGGTAATTAACAACATCAACAGCACTTCATGTCCATGAGCTGCACAACCAATGCATGAAGAGCAGGTAATTCAAGAACACACACATGTAACAACAACAATTTCCCATTCCTCATTAGTATGCATTTTTCTTTCTTATTAGGAATAGACCAGAATAGCTCAGTTTCCTTGTGCTGTTACATTATAAGAGCCAAACAAAGAAAAAACATGATTTGAACATTCACCTCAGCATGTGGTGACAAGAAGGCACTCACATTTAAAAGGGGAGCCCGCTGTGATTTGTATGTATGTTCATCATGCGTTTACATCTTTGCTAACTTCATGGTACACAGAGAACACAGTCGCAAGATAGTCTCTATTTTTCCTAAGAACAAGTTAAGAAGGAACTATGCCTTGACAGCAGTGAGATAAATTGATATCAGAAATAAAGAGTTGTCCTAACTGAAAGTTGAGGGACAAGGTATATTCTTACCTGCGACCTGACCAATACACAGGACAGTCTAGATTTCCTATAGAAGAGTCCCAGACTTATTTCCAGTTTTTTTGAGAAGAACCTTGAAAATACCCTTTACCATAAAATAAGCTGATATCTTTTTAGATGTCAAGAAGACACTAAATCCAGGACTTGTGATTTTAAGTGCAGGTTAATCAAGGGGCAGGGGATTGCCAATCAGCTATTCAAAGCTGTATTTTCCTGCAACAGCACCCCAGGGAGCTAATTCAATTGCACCTCATGCAACTAAAGTGCATTAACACTTTAACAATTGGCTGCAATTACAAGATACCAATGTACTCACTTAATAGTAAGAAGCACAGAATAATTCAGCATATGCTTGAAAAGCTGAGTTTGGAACCCAAATGGCTGCTTGTTTAATACTGAAGGGCAGGAGGGAGAAGGAAGTGAATCCCTGAGTCCTTCAGCAGAAAACCCCCACAGAATTTCCACAGAGAACTCTAGAAGCTTCTGTTCTTCTAGAGAGAGAATCACAACAACAGTTGGGAAACTTAATCTGATGAAGGGCAATGTGAAAAATAATGGCTTCAGGTTTTTCATCTCTAATGAGTTTTTAAAAGTTCTTTACACTGAGAGTTCAGTCAAGATGGCAGAATAGATGGTCCCCAGTGCCACTCTCTCCCGCAAATCAACTGATTTACAACTATTAAAAAGCAATGACAGCCAAGCTGGGGCCACTAGAGCTCAGGGGAAGAG